AGTAGCTCATATCTGCCTTGATTTTTCATAATATGTGTCCTTAATATTGCAGCTTACGGCCCTTCACGACGTTGACCAAATCCGCGGTTGTGTTCATCCTCCGTACTTCTTCATTAGTGACTTTGTTTGTCCATGGTATCTTCAAGATCCTTCTGTATAACCATAACTAAAAAGCCTGAAGTTTTGATAGAGTTTCTGCGTTCAATGTCCACGTTCCTACTCCGTACAGAAGCACAGAGTACACGTAACATTTAAGGAGCCTTATTTTTGTTACTAGGGTGGGGTCATGCTCTTGAACACAGAGCTCGTAGTCAAAAATGCACTCATTGATTATAGTTCCCAAGTTCCCAAGTATGTTGTACTGTGAGACACGTTAAATTCTCATTTGGTTCACATACAGGTTTGCTCCAATTATCTTTTCCTTGCTGATGATCATTAGCTTGGTTTTGCTGGTGTTTATATCCAGTCCATATATTCTAATTGTTTCTGTTATTTTGTTCATTAAGTTTTGCTGCCCTTCTATGGTATTGGAAAACTTTTTTGTATCACTGCATACCGCAGGTTATTGGGCTTGACTCTATTTATTGAGATGTCTTCAACAATATCTTTTAGATCTTCTTCAAAAATGTGCTCCGTATACAGATTGAATATCAGTGGTGAAACTATGCACCCCTGTCTCACTCCGCTTAAGATTTTGACCTGATCTGTATATTCTCCATCTAGTCGGAGCACCGCTGATTGCTTCCAATACAGGTTAGCTTTTATTTTTAGGTATTTTTTGTCAATTCCTGTCCTCTTCAGCATTTCCATCATTTGTTCATGTCTGACTCTATCGAAAGCCTTCTTGTAGTCAATCAGGCATGCAAAAACATTGCATCTGACATCTCTACATTTCTGAAACAATACCTTCACTCTACCTACGTAGAGTGAACGTACCTATCTACTCACCTACGTTTCGCAGATGATACAGCCCTTCTTGCAAATAGTCAAGCAGAGCTAATAGAACTTATACGACTGATCGAAAACGAAAGTCAAATATTTGGTCTGCAATTAAACATATCAAAGACAAAGATCATGATAGTGGATAGACTACACAACAATCATCCACACATAACCACAATTGACCGGTTCGAGGTTGTGAGCTCATTGATGGTAAATTGAAGTTGCGTGATATAGAAGAAGACTTAAAGATATTAGAAGACAGAGTATTTATCATTTTACATGAATATTTGTAAGCGATGAAGCTGTATTTTAACCCTTACTGGTACAAATACCCCAAGTACCCCTACTGGTACTGATTTAATTCGTGAAAATATTCTGGAACATCACAGCCTTTAAGTGATTTTTGCTCGCTTTCTTACATTTATTTCCAATTCTTTGTAATAAGTTTGGTATATATAAAATTATTATTAATTTGAAACAAAATAATTATTAGGTATTGATTTCTAAGGATTGGTGGTACTTCCACAGAAACGTATAATTAAAAAAAAATTAAACAAAGTTACCTTTTTCGAAGGAATTACTTTTTGAGATTAAATTTTGTATGTTATGAGTAAAATATAAAAATAATAAATTGATTAAGGTCATAGTTAACGAATAAAGTTACCATTTTTTTTATTCTGTGTAATTATTTTTTCTTTCCCTTACCTAAAGTTTTATAATTTAAGACACGGTCTAAAATAAAAACGAATAAAAGAAGAGAAATGCCAAGGGTTTTTGAAAAATATTGATATGGGTAGCAAAAAATTGGGTTTGAAGTACTTTTAGAAGATAAAAAATTACTTATCCTGGAGCGAAACGGCTTTCGTCAAAATAGATCAACGACGGATAACCTAGTTGATCTTGAATTCGAAGTTCACAAAGCACTCATTAACAAACAACATTGTAACAAAAGCCTATGATTGCACATGGACATATGGTATAATAAAAAAACCTTCACTCCTGGGGTATTAATGGACAATTCACAAAATTTTCTTTAACTCAAAACATTTAAGGTAAGAGTAAATGGAATACTATCATCAACTCGAATCCAATAAAACCCAGTCTCCGAAGGTTCGGTGTTGTGTGACTTTATTTCTTGTTGCAATTAACGATATCTTGGAACAATGTCAACAACCAGTTAAAGGAAGACTGTGCACAGACGATCTGGTTCTCCTACTAAGAGGAACACATCTAGAATCCACCCAAATAATTCTTCAAAGCGCATTAAATAATTTCCTGAAATGGTCTGACAAAACAGGACTCAGCTTTCCTGACGAAAAAAAAAATGCTTGCTCTTCTCAAAAAAGCGAAAAGAGGATAATCCAATTTTAATATTAAGTGGTAAGAATCTGATCATTGTAAAAGAAATAAAATTCCTCGGTTTTACATTTGACAAAACATTGGTTTGAAAAAGTCACATTAAAAATCTAAAAGGTACTTGCCAGAAAAGCATTAATACTTTGAAGAGACTGTCGAACATCACATGGGGCAGCGATATGCAACTCTTCTACGAATCATTTTATTCTTAGTTAGATTAAAAATTGATTACGGCTCAGTGATATATAAGTCAGCCAAGAAATCTGTTCTTAAAGAACTAGATGTTATTTAAAATACGGCACTGCAAGTTGCTTTGGGTGCCTTTCGAATAAGTCCCATACTAAGTATATACAGTGAGTCAGGGCAAACCCCTCTAGAATTTAGAAGAGATTTTTTAAGTTTGTCGTTTGCTTTTAAAGTTCTATCCTCTCCAGATAGCCCAGTCTACCATAACTTTCATAACAACCTTTTCAGACACTACTTTTCATCTCACCATCAATGCAATCCGCCTTTCTATGAACGAATTAACCGATTACTCCATAAATACAGCATAATATTTCCGGCAATATCCCTTCACCGCCCTTCCGAAAACCCTCCTCCTTCATGGACTATGTATATAAACCACGAGTGATCACTGATCACACTGAACACCAAAATTTAATGAACCCCACCATGAATGACATGAATTCCGACCAGTCATATTAATAAACCACTTCAAAGATATTATAATAGATTTTGCGACTAACGACAGATATACAGAGATGTATCAAAAACAACGGGCGGAGTGGGGGCAGCCATTTCTCTAGTACTCATATTGATAAATTTAAATTACATAACAACTGGACTATCTCCAATGCAGAACTATACGCAATCATTGAAGCTATAAAATTTATTAACAAAACGAACCAGAGAAATTACACAATCATAACTGACTCACTGAATGCCCTTTGTGACATCCAAAACATATACTGTAACATACATACATATACAAATTTGGGAAAGAATACTTTTTAACAAACTTAATAAAGGAAAGAAAATTCATGGGAAATAATTCACTAACAAAGAAAATTACTAGGAAAGAAATGTACTACGAATAAAATTGCGAGAATAAAAGCTGCTAGCAAAGAAACATCTAGCGAAGAAACTTTCTTAAAAATAAAAACGATTTAACAGAAACTTACTAAGAAGGAAGATGGCTACTAAAGAAAAGGGTTAAAAAGAAATTCACTAAGAAAGGAAATTCGTCATTAGTTCGATAATCCTTTGTGGATCTTTTTATTCGCAAAATGTATCTTTTAACCTCTTCATTGACATTGTTATGCTAGTTATTTTTAGTGTCATTTTTTAGTCTTCTTTTTAGTATTTTTTTCGTGTTCTGCATTTTTGGTGATATCTTAAGTTTCTTATTTCATATTTTTCATTGTTTAATATTTGAAAGGCTCCTCATATACACCATATCAATAACACGATCTATCATGTTGGCCGTCTGGATATCTCTGTGATCCTTTGTTGACAATGACCATATTTAAAGAAGTTGTTAAGTTTAATAACCTAATGCCATTATCAGTAGATGTTTCATGGTGACTGTGATTTGCTATGTTTGGTAGGAATTGTTGTCTCTTTTCAGTTTTTTTCCGTTGAGGTTACAATAAATAATTTTGATATTCTTTGGACATGTATAGTATATATTTTAATTGTTCATAAAACTGTTCCTTGTCATTGTCCTATCGTTTTTCCGTAGTTGCATGCACATCTACGAGGCTATTATTAAGTTTATTTGATAAAACAGAGGTTTTGATATTTATAAATCACTGATAAACCTCTTCCTTCCCTAATAACAGGCATGGTATGAAATTGGGAATGGTTTTCACCCATTCCCAATTTCATATTTTGATGTTCAAAAAAAAAACAATGGTGTAAAATGTCATAGAATTTATTTATTGGGGTTAAATTTTACAAAAATACTTACAAATATTAAAAAGTATAAATTATACAAACAGAAAAACTTTAACTATAAACTTTAAAGAAAGTAACAAAATTTTGTGTATATTTCAATGCTTTAAAATAACATTAAATATCTTCGATACTACCGTTCAACGAGAAACCTACATTTTTAGCTCTTCTTTTGCTGATAGTTACAAAATAAAAACGAATTAGTAGATAATCTATAAATCTACAAAATATTTCTCTATATGTACATGGAGTAAAGAGGTTATTTGGCTTTCTTCATATAAAAGTATTTGTATATAAGTGTATATATTATTTCCCTTATATCATACGATAAAATATTTACATGATAACAGTCTGATATTGTTTTGCTATTTTATAATCAAAACTATATAAATAAGATTCTAAGTGGCGGCCATAGCCTGTTTCGAAGGACACGCAAAGGGCTGACGTACGACCGGTTGTAACAACAAACGGCTTCCGAATATATATATATATATATATATATATATATATATATATATATATATATATATATATATGTTGAACAATTATTCCGGGAAAATATCCGTTGGTCATTTTTTAATTGCAGACGTTTCGCCAAGGTCTCACTTGGCATCTTCTGTGCGTTGTCTTCGGTCTCGTAGTCGGTAACTGAATTCAGTTACCGACTACGAGACCGAAGACAACGCACAGAAGATGCCAAGTGAGACCTTGGCGAAACGTCTGCAATTAAAAAATGACCAACGGATATTTTCCCGGAATAATTGTTCAACATATTACTCCATCCGTGAAACACTTCAAACTAACATATATATATATATATATATATATATATATATATATATATATATAGAGTACTTTCAACTGGGAATGATCACTAAGGCAATCAAGTCAATGTTTCTAAAAGTACTTTCGACTGGGGTAATGTAGCTTCTGGGCACTATGCTAATACTGATTTCACCACTGTAATCATTATTATTTTGGCTTTACAACACTGTATGTAGTCAATCCAGAAATGTTTTTCCTACTATGACATTTTGCTCCATCCGCATTACATGTCTTACACGATTCTGATTTTCTACACAGTTTAAATTTGTATCGCCTTCTCCATTTCCTATGGCCATTCTTCGCTCCGTAAATGCTTCTCAGTACTTTTCACTCAAAACTTCCTAACGTATTTTTATTCTTTTTTGTTCAAGTCCTTGAGCCGTATGTTGGCTATAATACCTTGATATTTCTTGATATATTTGAAGAGGTCCTGTTCATTGTTTAGATATTGTATAATATTCCTCTTGAATTTTTATCTTAATTATTTCATTGTTAATAAGAAAGTGAGTCGACTATATATTAGGTTTATAAAATAGTAAATCTAACAGAAAAATCACTGAAAGGGAAAATAATCTTTTTAGTCGAATTTCTGGATGTAACGCAAGCCTTTGATAAAATATAGCATAAAGGCCTTATTTATAAATAAAAAAGTATTTCCAATCCAATAATATTAAAGCAAATGCAAAAATCTCAAACGAAGAAGTGTTAAGACGAATTGGATATGGCTGAAAGCTTATGAACTGAACAAGAGTATCAAAAGGTGAACTTTATCTTTTATATTAAAATGATATCCCTCACCTGGAAAAAGATGTGACACTAACTTTTACTGATGACAAAGCTGTATTATCAATTGGAAAAAATCATGAAGACATTTATGCTATGACGTCCACACGAAAAATCAAGTGAATAAAAGAGTAAGCAGGATTTTGATTTGGAAGATCATGTCTCGTATCATACTTTTACTATAACCCAACTAAATCAAAGAAAAAATGATCAAGAAACCATTACATTCGGGTCTTATATATTGATCTAACAATAGCATACGACACAGTACCAGTAAAAAATTGTAATGATTCCTAGAAAACTCAACAAATACTAAAATCATTGTAGCAGATCGCCAAATCGATGATATGAGGGCTTTAACTCAGTGTCAGGGGAAGAGCTTATATTAACTGATATTAATCGATATTGAGGCTTTTATTTTGATTTCCTTGGTTGTTTATTCAATTATAGTTTTGAATAAAATAGCAAAACTGGCGAAAACTGCATTAAAATAAATTATATACTATTCTATCATTTACTATTCACAAAACTAAGCGATAACAAGTGTATGATGTTCAAACAAAATTGCGTCACCTTGGCGCATTTAGACGTGAAATAGATTATGCCTAAAAACTTAGTTAATCTTGTACATAATTTTGTAAACGATTAAATGATGGACCCACAAAAATGACAAAGGGTAATGCCAAATAAATAATTTAAATACATAATAGCAAAAGTTATCTCTATTTCGAAGAAATTTTAATTTTAAATGCATTCGATTTTTTTCGAATCCTGAGAAAACTAATAAGTATTTTTAAAAAATTTAAACGCAGAATAAAATATTACATTATTACTGAGGGCCGAAAGTCCCTGAAATCTTCTATAATGTTTATTTTAATAAGTTACAGGAGTGAAAAAGAAGGGAAAATTTAGTGTGATTTTCAATTTTAAATATCTCATTCAAAAAAACTTTTTGTTTATTCTAAGGAACTTTCGGCCCTCGGTAATAATGTACCTAATCTTTCAATCTGCGTTTAAATTTTTCAAAAATATTTATTTGTTTTCCTCAGGATTTGAAAAAAAAATTGCATTTATAAAGCATTGGTCCCGAAATTGTGCGCCTAGGTTCATAAGGACGAGGGCAGATATTTCGACAATTTGAGCAAACATCAGCTACTTGCCAATGCAGAAATTAGAACTGTTATACTAGGAGAAGAAATTCCTATTCAACAGTCAGAATCGATAGAAGGAAACATTTCTTTGGACAAATGATATCGATATTACACCTGCTCATATGGTATATCGAAAATGTTTCTGAATCCCGTGATTGGGTTTTGGGATTCAGAAACATATAACGAGAAACAATTTCCTGAGTCAGATTATTCACTCTATGAAAACAAATCGGTTGTGGATATATTCGAAATGTTCATAGATGAAGAAATCATTTTATTTCTGGTACATGAAACAAACCAATATGCTACTTTCAAGAACCTACCCGACCCAGGAGTCTCGCCAGAGAAAATTAAATGTTTCATTGTTATATTGATTCTTAGTGGTTATAATAATCTTTCCAGCAAGCGTATGTATTGGGAGCAAAATATTGACACTAAACCACATTCATTTTACATATTTCCAATTATCAACATACGCACGTGAAAGCCAAACAGGGTCGTACTGATGTGTATCGTATGATTCTTAAAAATATTTACTTTTAATTAAAACTATTAGTGTAAGAATTTCTTGATATTTAATCATTAAATCACAATTAAACTAAACTCTAAAAAATAACACGACCAGTAAATAACTTAACCATAACTGTAACAAATATAACACACAATATATTAACTTAAAAACCAACACGATAGAATCTGAATTTAAACAAAATCGCAAGTTTGGATCTGTAACATGAGAATCTGTCTGGCTTAAGGTAATAAATTATATTTAATAGCCTCTTGACGAATGAGAAGGCGAACATCAACACGTGCTTTTATTGATAGTTGGGAATTTGCTGAACGAATGAACTTTAGAAACGAACTTGTATATAATGCTATGAGACGCAACAGATTTGAGCAAATTACACCCTTGATAAGGGTGGTAAGCTCTGGAAAATACGGCCATATATAAATAAAGTGAAGGACAGGTTCAGAAAGTATTTTGTTCCTGAAAAAGATCTGGTTTTCGACGAAAGTATGGTCAAATGCTACGATAAACATAGCTACAAGCAATTTTTAAAAGCCAAACCCATACGATTTGGTTATAAAGTCTGGTGCCTAAATACAGTGATGGGCTATTTGATTGCTTTCGAGAAAATCAAGCAAAATCTGTAACTCCTGATATTCACTTAGAAAGAAACTTTGGTAAGGAGGCTTCACCACTGGTGAAAATGATAGAAGAACTACTTGATAATCTAAAATCTTTTCCATTCTTATTTTACTTTGACAACTTATTTACTATCTTCAGTTTATTGTCTTATTTAAGTTTGAAAGGATACAGAGGCACGAGGACTATAAGGGAAAACTGTTTACCTAGGAGTTGTCATTTATTAGCTAAAAAAAGATATTCAGAAAAAGGAAAGGGAATACTATGAAAGTACTATTAGTAAGACGGATGCTGTACTAGTAACTGTGGGTCGATAATTTCATAGTTTGCATTGCTTCAAATAGATATGGCATCAATCCAATCGCAAATGTTAGACGTTATTCGCAAAAGAAAAAAAAACACATACAAGTTAGCAGACCAGCAGTACTTGCAGACTATAACAAAAAAATGGGTGGTACTGATCGAATGGATCACAATGTTAACAGTACAGAATTCAAATTAGAAACAAAATGGTACTGGACATTGTTTACATGGTTTCTTGATGTTTCAGTCAATAACGCGTGGTGTTTGTATCGAAAATCAAACAATTCTCAGATGTCCCAAAAAGACTTTTGAAGGGCTATCGTGCAAGTTTATTTGAAGAAATATTCGTCATCTCCCAAAGGCACTGGCAGGACTTCATCTCCATCTACTAATGCGCAAAAAGTAGCCGACGAAATTAGATATGATATGATGGAACACCTAGTGGATAAAATTCCAAACGACAAAAGAAGACGTCGTGATGGAAGATTTTGCAAAAGTTCAACACACACGATGTGTAAAAAATGTAACTTAGGTCTCTGTATTGATTGTTTCGTTACCTATCACACAAACCAAAATGTTTAAATTCTTTTTTCATTATTTTCTGTTTTTAAATAAATAATGTTTACAGATATATTTTGTATTTTCTGCACCCAGCTCCTAGCGTTACATATATGTAACATCATATACTGAGTGATTTATAAATCTGAATGCGTAAATTCATTTATTTTTATGTTTTTTAATATAACTGCTCCCAAAAAAATATTAGCATCACATTAAAAACTGCGAAAAAATAATCTGGGCACTACTGGGTTAAAATTAAATCCCAGACAACTGGAGAGAAATTCTTGAGGAGGATAATTCTCTTAACAACCCAGGGTTGTAAAGCCAGAATGATGATGATAAATTTAAATTATACAGGCCATTTATATCAATAAATCAAAATTTGTGGCTGGCATATACATCGTAAAGTTGTTTTTTCCTTTTCTTTTATTTGGAAAATCTCAGAGATTTGTTTCCTAAATTTGGTTTAAATCTTGTAAGAATGGTCTTCCAAAAATTACGTACCTGATCAATTATTGCAATATTGACCAAAAAGATTCCTAGAAATAGTTGAAGTATGTAAAATTGTTTTATTTAGAATAAATAGCAAAACCTGACGTCACGTGATTTCCTACGTAAAGTACGTATTTATGTATATATAGAATAGAGAACATGTGATATTTATCTATATTATCGCTTAGCTTTGTTATTAGTTACATACAAGTAGCTTATATTATCTTCCTATATTGAATATACAAACGACACTGGTTAAACTATTGTTTAGAACTTAAGACTAGAAAAGACATAAACACCTCCTTTTTCAAAATATGTGGACATTTTACAGCGGAACATAGTCTATCTACAAGATAACAAATTTTCCTAAAATATTCTTTAATGTTCAAAGATTTGCTGCTCTTCATAACAAACGCATAATTTTGAAAATTATTGAAAAAACTTAAACAAAGAATTTATGAAAAATGCTTTAAAATGTTTTATGATACAACAACAAAATAATTTGTATAATCTCCTTTCATCAGCAGATGATAAAAAATTGGTGAATTGATTTACAAAAATCGTGGTCTGAGTGTGTTTGTAAGTATATGTGAGACGTAGGTCTCCTCGAAACGTTTCTCTACTTGTGCTATCCAGGTACCAGTTGGATATAATTATTTTTAGTTCATTTCTCCACGTATTGGTATCCATTCTATAATGTTTTTATCCACGTATGATCTGTTTTCCTTGCCAGGTGACCAGCCCATTATTTCAATTTTGCCACCTTCCAAATGGGATCGCAACTGACTTTCTTGATGAGATTTCACGCCATCTTACTCCCAAGTTCATTCTGTTTAATGTGTCCATCCAATTTGTCTGCCTTATACGCTGGGTATTTCCTTATATGGTTTTTCATATTTCACCATATATTGCTGCTGCTAATTGAAGCAATGCACTGGAGGATAGCAAATAAAACCCGAAAACTTGACACTGGCTCCGAATATTTTTAACTGAACATTATTTTGTGTATCCTATGGTTCTATATCACCTAAAAATCTTCGACAAATACGAAACAGGCATGAAAGAGTTGATGGGTCTTTTGGAAAAAATTGCAACGTTTTCAAAATTATGCGTTGGGATGTGAGTACAGTGACCGTTTAAAAAAATATATAACAATAAAATAAAACCGTAAATGTTTTGTTCATTTAATATCAATTCTGTAAACATTACCTATTAGTAAATTCATTACATATATTTATGTGTACTTCATGGATTCACCACCGCATACCTATATACAACTTATTATACAGTCTCAATAATGTTACTGTTGTGGAAACTAACCTGGCTAGAGGTGAAGTGAGTAAGGAGCTGTGACAGGAATACTAAGGTCCCATTCCTATAGACAGAGTAAAAAATCGAAATCTATAAACATTTGAATCAATTTACAACATATTAATTTCAAAGATCGAAAAGGTTTCTTTTAGAGATAACTTATCTTACAAATTTTAAATAAAATGGACAATTATATACTTATGCCACAGTATAAATAACAATCAGATGCCGCCTTTGAAGTGTGTCAGCACGCGATCGCCATATTTAAAACGGAAACATAGACTCGGGTTGAGAAATTTGTGACAAGCTACGACAGAACTGTAATTTAAATTTTTAGAGATTAATAATTTAGTAAATTTGAAATAATTTAATCTATTCTTCAACTGAAAGTAAGGATAAAATAGTGCATATTATATCTATGGTTGCTGTAAATAAATTAAACCAGGTTAATTTTTCTATGCACACCAGATAAAATGTCACTAAACAGTACTGGTTCCGTTTAGAACATGACCGATTCAGTCCGCGCGATCGAGATGCGCGTACTTATCTTGACAAGCAGAGTTGGCATTCTGATTGTTTATTATTATGTGCTTATACAGTCCATTTGCTGGATCTTTGCACATTTATGACATTATTCACGAATTATTTTTTATATTACGTTTCTTTCCTAATCACAGAAACTAAATCGGTGAACTTAAGCCATCTGTCTATAGACAAATGCATAATACATTGAACAAAGACAAGTACAAGCTTTGTTTTCACAGCGTTTGTAGTGTGTTTATAAATTATTTTATCATTTTTCGTACTTTGAATATACTTACCTATTTTTTAACAAACAGTTATTATTACGACTTTCACGTTCGTGTTTGATTTATTAGGGTAGTAATTTATTTATTAGCTAATGCCGAATACCAAAGAATATAGACGCTTAAGCGTCTATATTCTTTGCGAATACTTTAAAATTTAATTCTAAGCTTAAGTTTAAATTGACATTTAGTTATTTAAAAATGTCTAAAACCACGTCAACGGAGTAATATGAAATATTTTTAAAAGTTTTTATTTGTAGAGTGTGCCTGGAAAAACACTGAATTCTCAAGTACAATAAATAATTTATGTTTAAGTATTTCAAATTAGAAAAAATGAATGGAGGGCCTTTGGAGCCATTTTTATTTGTTCATCAGGTAACATATTGAAATGTATGTTTGTTTATTAAAATAATATCATCAAGCATTTATTTAAGAGAGTAGCTGCTGCATTAAAAATATCAAGATGGACAGTATGTACAATTATAAAAAGAAAAGAAAATTATGTTCTTTCAAAGCCAGGCAAAAGTAGACCTTGTCCGAAAAACAAGACGATCGTTTAAATATGTATTTACTGTAGATGTAATTGGACAACCAGTAGGTTTCCAAAATTTGGAAAATCAAGTTCATAAACAAATGTATAATCAGTGTTCAATCATATTTTGCCTTATATCCTATAATACCAGTGATAACAATGTGCAAAGATCCAGTGGATCTACTGTAAGTTACCTTTGGTGTTTCGCTTTGCAATCTCTGAAATTAACTTAAAAGTCCCTTAAAGTTAGTACACCACCATATTCACTTCGGCTGATTGTTATAATCTACGTAAACTCTAACCACTTCACCTGAGTATTTTCGTTGCGAGGGCATAAAATAAAAGTCCGCCGGTTGCATATCAGGTCCTTGTCTGTTTCTGTCGTTGTAATGGTTCCTGTCATATACCGTTCTCGGCAGAGAAAAAGTATTTCTGTCCATATTGGTAGGAGGATAATTGCCCATGCGCGGGCGTTGTAGGGAACGAGTATCTCCTTGAGGTGCTGCTGGAGGTACGCTTGGAGGGCGGGTTTGAGGACGTTGGATGTGGCGACTTTTGGTCGGTTTGGTTGATGTGCCGTTTGTGTTACCGTTTGGGTGCTTTTTCTCTTCGAGGGTGACTGTTGAGGGTGTTTCGAAGGCGTCGAAAGCGTAGTTTGTGTTCGAAGAATAGTCTTTCCATGCCGAGTTAGGGATTAGGTGGTCCTGAAATTTAGAGAGACTTATTTAAAAAGTTACATAAAGATGAAGTTAGGAAGTCAACAAAAAAACTCATTATATTTGTGGGGCTTACTGATGCGTATGGTTGTTTCACCTGTCATAAAATGTTTAAATTATTTCGATTAATCATTTAATTTTGCAATAGTTAAAGTCATTAAACTTTAAGCTTGTTTAACATAAATACATCAAGGAATACATCAAAAAGTGATCCAACAAGTCACCTCAAATCTAACAAAACTAGGAGAAGAAATCTTAACATCAGAAGATGTCAATGAACAGTGGAGCAATGTTTAGAAGGCTGCAGAAGAAAATTTCAAAACTAAAAAGACAAATAAAAAACAGAAGTGAATTACTGTTGGTATGACAATTCTATATTGTACATTTTTATGTTAAGTGTTGACATTACCTGCAAGTGACAAGTGTCAACGTCAAGAAGTAAAATTAAGACATTCATGTAAACAACAATTTATGTTAGAATAAAACGTTTATTTTTGTCAACGTATTGTTTTAGTATTCCATCTATAAGCAAGACTTTTTCCATCACGCATCCCTAAAATTACTTCAGAAATTCTAGCATTTGTGGAAGAGAGGAGAAAATCCAAAGGGAGAAATGAACCAAAATATCAAGAACTAAAAAGTAGAATTAAATTAGATATAAAAAAAGCCATGAAAAAGTGGTTAAAAGATCAATTCATATAAATGGAAGAGTATGACAGAAAATACGACAGCTTTAATATGCATAAAAAAATAAAAGAACTAACAAATACCAAAAAGCAAGCACACTATGGGATACTCAAAGATGATAATGGTAAACTCATTGCAGACATCAAAGATAAACTAAGATTTTGGCAAGAATACATAATGAAACTCTTTGATGATGATATAATGATACAGGAAGAACCACGGGATCAAACAGGACCGAAAATAATAATGTGCGAATTAGAACAGGCAAATAGAAATGCAAAGACCGCGAAAATTAGTAGGCCCAAATCAGATACCCACTGAGCTAATTAAATGCATTGACGGAGAAACACTGTATATACTTTTAGAACTGTTCAACAAAGTATATACAATAGGAGTACTACCCGAAGATTGGTTGCTGTCCACGTTTGTAACACTACCAAAGTCAGTACAGTCTCCCAGTACAGAACGATTTCTTTAATAAGCCACACACTTAACATATTTCTCAAAATAATACATGGAAGACTATACAACAAAATAGAAGAAGAAATAGATTAGACTCAGATTGGATTCAGAGAAGGACTAGGAACGAGAGAGGCTCTGTTCGCTTTTAACGTTCTCGTGCAAAGACAACTAGATATGAACCATGATCTCTATGTCTCTTTATATATTATTAAAGAGCTTTTGATAGAGTACGACATCAGAAACTCGTAAAACTGTTAAAAGAAAAGAATGTGGATAGTCGGGATATACGGGTTATTGTCAATCTGTACTGGAATCAAAAAAGCAAAGGTTAGAATCGAAAATTCCGACACAGAAACTATAGCAATCGAAAGAGGTGTTAGACAGGGTTGTGTGCTGTCCGCATTGTTATTTAATCTGTACAGCGAAGCTATTTTTAAGTAAGCAACATCAGAGGAACAACAGGGTATGTCAATAAACGGAAAAATCTTGAACATAAGATTCGCAGACGACACCGCTGTTTTTGCAAACAGTCTAGAAGCACTGCAACACTTAGTAAATAGATTACATTAAGTCGGTATAAAATATGGACTACAAATGAACATTAAGAAAACCAAGTGCATGAATATTTCTAAGCAACATACAGTAGGAAGGCTAGATCTCTAGGGAAAACAAGTAGGAAGAGTAAATAACTACATGAGTGAATAACTACATCTGGGAACCTGGGTAAATGAAAACAATGACCAAGGTAGAGAAATAAGGACACGCATTGAAATTGCAAGACAAGCATTTATGAAAAACGAAAACAATGTTTGTTAATCGAGACTTTCCTCTGGAGATGAAGATAAGTATCGTAAGATGCTACGTGTTCTCGACTTTGTTGTATGAAATTTAAAGCTGGACACTGAAAGTGGATAATATAAAGAAGTTGAAATCATTTGAGATGTGGTACTATAGAAGGATTTTGAAAATATCATGGACCCAACGAGTTACAAATGCAGAAGTGTTAAGAAGGCTACAAAAGGATTGCGAGGGTCATAAAGCACATAAAAAAAGTTGGAATATTTAGGCCCCATTACCAGAGGTGCGAAAAATGAGATATTAAGGCTCATAATGCAAGTTAAAATCAAGGGTAAAAGATCCATAGGAAGACGAAGAATTTCCTGGCTGAGAAACCTAAGAGAGTGGTATAGTTGCAGCTCAGTAGATCTTTTAGAGCAGCCGCCAATAAGGTACGGATAGCTATAAGTTAGTAAAATTTTTGATTACCCTTTTGGCACTAATGTCACTGCATGGAAATCTGGAATACGCATCTATTACCCTAGGTATATAACAGTTATTGACATTCGAAGGCAGTGGTCCTTAAAGTTGGTACTAAGGCGTTCGAAGGGACATGTGGCTTTTATAAGCTTCCTGAAAAAACCTTTCATTCTTAACGTGTCACCTGTCAGAGTCCTGACTTCATCGAGAGAGAAAGTTAAATTTTTAGATTTTATCTAGTCAAATATACGTGGTACCCCTGTATGACAAAGTGCTGTGTGAAGTGACTTGTGTTTTAATGCACCCGGCGTCGTGGTAGCAGAGCAAGAGCAGATAAGCGATAAAGCATCTTCAGCTTCGTTGTCTTTTCCAGGTGTATAATAATATAAGCATATGACTCTAATTATCTAATGCGGTGTCACATTATTCGTATGTACCTTTTAAGATAAATTTGGTTCTGAATATCGTCTCAGACAACAAAAAGATGGCGAAATAATATGTTAAAAAATGCTAAAATTTGTGTCACATTTCACGAAAAAAAAAACATCTAAACAACGATGATTATCTGAAAAATATCTAAATAGCATATGTTATATTTTCTAGTACTACTTATGCATGCAAAATTTGATCTATAAAAAGTGAATCATTAATTTTTAAAGGGTATTATAAATGATACTTTTAAGCAAATAATATAAATTAAAAAATTATGTTTTCTTTATATGTGCATTGCGTTCGTACACATAGCGTATTTATGATTGAATAAACTATCTTTTTAATATGTTATAACGCTGTATGCATTATCATTGAATTGCGTGAGTAGTTTAGGCCTCTTACCGGTTCTAAGCCCAGATAAAGCAGCAAGGCTCTTAGCTCAGATTAGCACCCTACCAGGTAAAGGTAAAATCAAGATAAAACACAAAATATGTTAATATTGTGCAAATAGCTCAGGATAAATCACTAGTAACATAATGGAGCTTCTACTCTCCAAGAGCTAGAGCTATGATCTAAGCAAAGAAGGGTGAGTGTACGAAAAAACCGTCAATTTGTCTAAAATCAAGAATAAAGTGTAACGATGAGTCCAAGCCATCACCGTTAAACCAGCGTGCGCGCGAACCAACCCATGAAGTAGGAGTGTATCGACAGTAGAAAGGGCAAAACTTTGCTATATAAACCGCATTATTTCCTCATAGAGGCAGAATCGTCAGGTGTTGACTGAAGGTTCTCTTCTTCCCTACCCCGGCTTGTGGACGTGTTGAGTTCACAAGTTGTTCCATACCGCCGTTATCCGGAGAGCGTGTTGAGCTCTCCATTACCCGTACTCCGAAGCAGTCGTGTTGAGACTGTCGAGGAGTGTCCTATTAACCCGAATCACTTAAGGGACGTGTTGAGTTTCTTTCTTTCCTTTGTACCCATCGTCCGCTGTTATTAAATCGACACATCGTTCACGTAAAATTCCGAAAACACACTCGATTGCCGATAAAACTTCATACGACAAGGTCAAACTTAATTTGAATAAATAGGCCAGGTACTGAGAAGACTAAACTAAATTGTAAATATGTACATAAGATTTTTGTATGATGTTTCTGGTAGAGCTTGTAAAACGTGGGTGTCTTGTAGGCCGTAAGCTGTCTGGAGTTCTTTCAACCGTTCTATGAATTCTATTGGGTCTCTTGAACCGTCAAAGTGTAACCCCCATTTGCGTACTATTTCCATCTTTCTTTGTCTGTCTTCCATCTGGTTTTCTTCTATTTCCTCTGGGTTTTGGCCTTTTTGAGTTGGTGCCTTGATGATCGCAACTAATCTCGCTCTTAGCTCGCTGAAATTCCCTTCCGTCGACTGTTCTCTGTTTGTTAATTCGGCTATAAGTTCGTCTTTCTTTAATAGGTACACCCAACTAACCTTCGACGTTTCCGGAGCGTCTGTCATTTTTGAACTGTGAATCACCCTGTATTTGAATAAAGTTTGAAATGCAGTACTGTCTCATGAAAATAAAATTCGGAATTCGGTCGGTATTATTGTTTAAAACGAATTTTTCTGCTCGGGCGCCATCTGTGACGTCCTCTCGTAGGAGTCACTATCCGGGTAGCTTTTGGACAGTCAGAGACAGAGTTCAAAATAAAAATAAAACTTTATTGTCTTCCTTAAATTAAATTGACAAAAATCTTATATACATATTTACAATTTAGTTTAGTCTTCTCAGTACCTGGCCTATTTATTCAAATTAAGTTTGACCTTGTCGTATGAAATTAGTGTTATCGGCAATCAAGTATGTTTTCGGAATTTTACGTGAACGATGTGTCGATTTAATAACAGCGGACGATAGGTACAAAGAAAAGAAAGGAACTCAACACGTCCCTTAAGTGATTCGGGTTAATAGGACACTCCTCGACAGTCTCAACACGACTGCTTTGGAGTACGGGTAATGAAGAGCTCAACACGCTCTCCGGGTGACGGTATGGAACGGAAACAACTTGTGAACTCAACACGTCCACAAGCCGGGGTAGGGAAGAAGAGAACCTTCAGTCAACACCTGACGATTCTGCCTCTATGAGAAAATAATGCGGTTTATATAGCAAAGTTTT